TTATGACATTTATACCCCGCCCTCCCCGCGAACGGGCGGCTCACATAAGGCACCAAGTGCGTTCAGTATACAAAATTACATGATATAAATACAATTTTAAAACAACTTAAAATCAGTTCTACGGATGCACACATAGACTCCTAACATCTTGTGTAACAGGGGGGAAGGCTGGGGTGAGGGAAAGATATTACCCCACCCCCCCAGTGGTCTCTCTCTATAACAGAGCGGTGGTGTAAGTGGCCGTGGCGGCTCCCAAGGGTGTAGACTTTCCAATTTCCCGGGAGGGGGGGGCTGGGCCAGAGGCATTGCTTTGCTAGGAGCAAGGGTGGCTCCCAGGGGAGGCTGAGCACTTTCCTGAAAATTTCGGCGGGGGCTGATGCCCCGCCGCCCCCACGAAGATTACGCCTATGGAGAGCTCCATCTTGCAGGCCCTGCGGAACTGCACAAGGTCCCGCAGGGCCCTGATCTCCTCCGGGAGCTCATTCCACCAGGTAGGAGCCGCCACTGAGAAAGACCTGGCCCTTGTTGCCACAAGCTTGGCCTCCTTGGGGCCCGGGGTCACCAGCCGGTGTTGTGACCCCGACCAGAGTGCTCTTTGGGGAATATATGGGGGAATGCAGTCCCTCAGGTAAGTCGGACCCTGGCCATGTAGGGCTTTAAAGGTAAGCACCAGCACTTTGAAGCGAATCCAGTATGCTACAGGCAGCCAGTGCAGCACTTTCAGCACAGGTCGGGTGTGCTCCCAGCCCGGGACGCCCACCAACAACCTGGCCGCAGCATGCTGCACCAGCGGTACCTTCCGGATTTGCGACAAAGGCAGCCCCACGTAGAGAGCGTTACAGTAGTCTAGCCTCGAGGTGACCGTCGCATGGATCACTGTAGCTAGGTCATTGCGGTCAAGGAAATGATGACTACTGGCACTAAACCCAGAGATGGGGATGTGCTTTCTAATCTCTTTTATGTGCAGTTGTACATCCCTATTATCTGACATTGCCATAGTCAGTTGTTACATACATGGCAATTAATCACATACAGAAAACAAGTCCAACAGGCGATCACACAGTGAACAATACAAAAACAAGGGAAAAAACTGCAGAAAGATGCTAAGAAGAAAAACAGAACAAACAAGCAACTCTTAGGTACTATTCGAACTAGAAGGAGAATAATAATAGTACATCTACAAATATCCAGCAGGCAAGTACATAATAAACATATTTAGTATTCCAACAGGTAGCATACAATGTCTTCCAACAGGTAAGTATACAAAAACGAAGACTCCAGATTTCAAAACTTTGTCTAGTGTATGCTTCCTCAGTAGAGGCTAAGCATAGCCAAAAATGATGAATGCTTATGATGTACTCTGATCAGTAACAGTATACCTTTATTTTTCCCTTGGAGAATGGTATGCTTTGTGAGACTTCTTAATATTTTTAGAAGACTAGAAATACATTGTATGTTACCTGTTACAGACTTGCTTTGCACTTGTACTGTAGACTTGCTCCAAAGAAAAATTGGTAAGCCCTGTTCATTTACTATGAGACATAGCTACAGATAAACCTATACTAGTTAACCATTGCCGCTCATTATCTAGTTTTTGGGACGTGGAAAGGCTCAAGATGCTTAGCCGCCTCATCAAACTGCAAACTTCAGAAGTCTTCAGAAAAACACCGCAGCAGTTGCGCTTCAGTAGAACTAGAACCGATATGTATGACTGGTGTGGTTTTGCCCAATAACCGAGTAAATTGCACTACTGATTTAATTAGCGGGACTAATTAACGCATTTTAGAACGCAATTTATATTGTTCTCTGTACCGTCCTGAAAATTATTTCAAGAGCTCGAGCCCACAGATGCAGGGACGGTCTCTTTTACAACCGCACCAAGATAACACCGGAAGTAGAAGGCTAGACTTCCGTGATACGCCCAGCCGCGTGCTCGCTAGTTGTGTCGGGGGACCTGCTTGTTGCGGTGGGTCAGTCTGTGCAAGTAAGAAGGGATGTCGCTGGCGGGTGGTGATGTCGCCGCCGCCGCCGCCGCCAAGCAAGGAGGCTCCGGTGGGGGCAATGCACTCTTCGTAGCTTTCCGCGCTCTGGGGCTCTGCTCCAATCACCTGGCTCACGTGCTGCGTTATCACCGCCGGCATCGAGAGTTCTACCTGGTCACCGCGGTGGGGAGGAGCTTCCATACTTACAACGTGAGTCTTTCGGGACGTGCCCCCCCCCCCCCCCCCGGCCGGCGGAACCGGCGCCTCCCCCGTTTTCTTTTAAAGGAGTGATTTCAGGGAGGGCAAAATGTGCTTCTGTAGGGTGTGAGGGGAGAATTAACTTCATGGTTTCATCGCTAGCATAGTTTGAGTACAGGGGCACCTTTAAGGCAATTGGTAAGACCTGTGAATAGCAGCAAATTAGCATACAGCATAATAAAAAATTTATAAGTAGATGCAATAACTGAACGCCATTTATTAGCATGTTTAGTGAGATAAGAAACCGACATCTCTGTTAAACCCTGAGAGTCCTATTGCCAAGTGTTGTAATAACTTGTAACTCAGCAGTTTCCCGTTCTACTCCGTTTCTGAAATTCTTTTGCAGTAAAACAGCATCTTGACTCTAATTACCCCTGCCAGCTCCAAGTTGGGAAATTCCATGAGATTTGTGGGTTGAGCCTTGGGAGGGCAAGGTTTGGGGAGAGAAGCAACCACAGCAGGGTATAATGCCATACAGTCCATCCTCCAAAGCAGGCATTTACTCCAGGGGAACTGATCTCTGCCATATGTTGGCAAACCTAATTCCCCTGGAGGAAATGGCTGCTTTGGAATGTGGAGTTTATGGCATTCTACCATTCTGAGGTCCCTTCCCTCCTCAAATCCTACACTCCCCAGGTTCCACCCTCCAAATCTCCAGGTATTTCCTAACTTGGAGTTGGTAACCCTATCTCCTTACCTCACAACAGTCAACCTACCTTTATCTTTCTTAACCCCCCCTCCCCCAGCAGCCTCTACCTAGGTAAACTGTGGCCCAGTTTTCTGTTACTAGTTACTGGGCCAAGCTCACTTGCATGGTAGGGAACCTTTAAGGACTTGTGAGGTGGTACCTCACTTTTCCCTCTATCCCCTGGCAACTCCAATATCCTCTCCCCTTCCACGGCCTCATTCCCTTCTTCTCAGCCATTCACAAACTTACCTTTTATCTGCCTTCCATCTTTATATTATTTATTTACTTCATTTATAACCCACCTTTCTCCACAGTAGGGATCAAAGCAGCTTACATTATTTTCCTCTCTTCCTGTTAATCTGTACAACAACCTTGCAAGGTAAGTTAGGTCCAAAATCACCCAGTGACTTTCCACAGCAAGATGGGAGTTTGAATCTGGGCTGAAGCTCCTACTGCTACAGCACACTGTCCTTTATAGGGTAGCTGTGGTTGAACAGTAGCAAGCAGCTAGGCCTAATTAAGTCATGAAAGTTGGATGGTATCAACTCAAGTCACCCAGAAGTTGCTTCCAGGCCTAGGGTTGCCAGCCTCCAGGTGGAATTTGGAGATCTCCCAGAATGACAATTGAACTCTAGATTACAAAGGTCTGTCCCCCTGGAGAAATGGCTGTTCTGAAGGCTGGACTCTGGCATTATATCCAGCTGAATCCTCTCCTCAAACCCTGCCCTCCTCAGACTCAACCACAGCATCTTCAAGAATTTACCAACCTGGCAATCATAGCCAGGCCAGGTCCTAGTGAATCCTCCTTTGAAGGCTAAAATAGGCCTGGAAAGGGCCCTGCCCCCTCCACTTACCTTTTATAGCCTAGCAACAGCCACTGAGGAAATCTGTTGCTTAAAGCTACAGGTTCTTCTGTCATTTGGCCAATGTGTTTTTTCTAGATTTCACATTTATTGGCAAACCTGAGCCCTTTTCAGGTTTGTAGAAAGATCTGCATTGCCCGTTCACAGATCCAGTCACTGGATTTAAGTATCCAAAGATTCGGCTGGCTTGGCTATTAGTGTATAGATTAGGGTTACCATATTTTGAAAAGCAAAAAAGAGGACATATTTCCTGATTGACTACTTCAAACAAATGATCACTATGACAGACTCATTTTGAATACATCTACTATTTGAACTGTGATAATTGCTACTAACTAGGAATATTCTTAATCTTCCAACCCCAAAAGAGGATGGACACCAAAAAAAGAGAACATGTCCTTAAAAAAGAGGGCATCTGGTGACCCTAATATAGATAGTACAAGTGTGGGCCCACGGTACTCGAGGGGGAATCCCCCCCCTTTATTGCCAGGCCCAGTGCAAGGTCAGTGCGGCTTCTGGGAGCAGCCACTGCCAGGCCCAGCAGGGCTTCCAGGGTATATCGCCAATGGCTCCCGGGCTGCATCGCCACCAACACTGGGCCCAGCAGGGCTCCCAGGCTGTGCAGCCACTGACACATTCCCCCAGGCTGCTTCTTTGCTGATGCCAGGCCCAGTGTGGGCCCCGGCTTCTCCTCCAGCCCTGACAGAACCCTCAGGCTGCTTTACTGCTGCCTCCGGTGGGCCTGCTATGGTACCAGGGATGCTTCGCCACAGAGAAGGTAAGCAGTAAAGAGCATTCTTTGTGCATGCACAGAGAATGCTCTTTTACTTTGGGGGGATTTAACACACACACACACACCAGTCACCAAAGTTTGTAGAAAAATCTGTTTAGTGCAAGTGTGGCCCCGATCCATAGATATGCACAGATAGGGGGCACACTTGGGAAATAGATCTATAGGTGGGAAAAGAGTCCATGCATCTCATGGGGCAGGATGCAAACAAGACAGTATCATTTTCTGAACTTACAGGGAGGTGCTACATGCAGAGGCACAACTCTGTTTAATAAAGAATAAAACTGCAAGAAGGCAAGTTCAAAACTTGCACCTCTTTCAAAGGAAAAAAAGTATGATTAGGTATTTCATCATCAAATAAGTACATCAATCATGTCAAGTTCTTGGTAAGTGTGTGTCAAGTCCAAAATATGAGGTACTACTACAGTGTTTATACTTGTCATCTGTGCTATAGAGTAGTTTTGTCTTTGGCATATTTGGCTCAAGATCAGGCAGCTTTACAACATAAGAGAATCTGGCAGGGAGTACAAGTCTCACTCTGTGGTTTAGCCAGGTTCACAGACTCTGCAGCATGCAAGCTAAAGCTTTGCAGTAACTGTGATGTATATGGTTATGCTTGTAGAGAAATGATGTGTATAGCACAGGAAAAATAAATTCACATTCATAGGAGCCAGTATCAAATCTAAAAACAAGTCCCTAATAAAATACTTGGTGTATGGTATTTACTGTACATGCTGACTTTTAAATGTGCACACCATGCATGGAACTGGCTATATACAGGCAAGGACAGAAATTGTTGCAAGTGCTCAATTCTTGTAATAGTATTGGGAAGGTTGATGTACACATTTTGTTGGTCATTTCATAATCCTCTCTGGGCACTAATGGCTAGATTATAGTCGCTAGAAGGCCATGGCAGAAAATATAACACTTCAGACGTGGTTTTGAGATGGATGGTGTAACGATTCCTTGTCTTATATGTGTGTGTGTCGCTTTAAAAGTTTGGTTACATGGCTGTGAGAGATAGTCTAGAGTGGTTGAAACAGGCAAGTGGTGTGATTGGTGATTGGCAGAAAGGGGGAGGGGTTTTGGAAGTAAAAATTAGTGGATGAATGGGTATGTCAGTCAAGAGGGACAGTTGAAGAGGGACAGTTGATGAAGATGGTGGTGGTTAGGAGGAAGTTCTGAAGTCTGGGAGAGAAGCAGTTTTGTGTGCTTAGGAGTTAGTATGAAAAAAGTTGAATGTATATGAAACAAGAAAGTAAAGTTAAAGAGAAAAATAAAAAGTCTGAGTGACAGGCTACAGTGAAACAGTAAACCTATATGTCCTTAAGGAAAAAAGTGTTACAAAGTTACATGCCAAGATCCCTGACAGTGAGAGAGAAAAGTGTGTGAAATATCAAAGCAATTGTTTAGTATTTACCCATTCCTAGTTACAGTGTACTACCATATTATTTATGAATTATATCAATAAATCTACTTTTATTTAGGATACCAGTTCTGAAAGAAATACTTCCCAGGACCAATTCCCCCCTTTCCTTTAGTATTCCTTTATAGTGAAAATGTATAAGTAAATCTTTCATGGCCATTCATCACCCCTTTTGCTGTGTGATTACCTGTCTGGTCTCTATCTTGAAAACAAAAGAATGAAGTTAATTCATTAGGTTACAAATCTGAAAGCAATTATGCATATGCTCAACACTTTGCACTGAGACCAGTATAGGCTTTGTACTAATTGCTCCTTGATGTGTAATTTGGGATTAAAAGCTTTGAGGCAAGGCAAAATCTGTGAAATAGGAGTAACTGCTGGATAATCTATTGAGGTAACTTCTGCATTGAAGGTTCTCTATCCATTGGTAATGTATATGGATCAAGAGCTGTTCAGAGTATTTTCGTACGTCATTAAATGTTCTGTGTTTGGTTTATTAGTAATTATGAGAAAGTTCTAATTAAAAAGTATTAGTTGAATCTGGTCCATGGGGTCGCGAAGAGTCGGACTTGACTGTGCGACTGAACAACAACAACAAGTTGAATTGATCAGAGCAAAACAAATGTTCTTACTGTTATGATCAAACCAGCAAGGATTTGCTGGAGGCATCTCATTCTCCCCTCCCCCACTATTTCCTTTTCCTGAAAACCCGTATAGCCCCTCCGCTTTTCCTGCTATCTTAGCTCCTAGGGTTGCCAACCTCAAGGTAGGGCCAGGAGATTTCATGGAATCGCAACAGATCTCCCAATTACAGAGATCAGTTCCTCCATTAGGATTGCCAGCTCCAGATTTTCTCCGGCCATTTTCTCCAGGAGAATTGATCTCTGTCATTTGGAGATTGTAATTTATCTCCAGCCTCCATTTGGATGCTATGAAAAACTGTAAGAACACCATGAAGCAAGCTAACTAACAATATATTGCATATGTTATAATAAAACAATTTAATCCAACACGTAGTGAATTAATGATAGAGATTCAATAGAATTTATAAACATAAAAGGTAGAAGATATCATAACATATTCTATAAGGCATGAACAATCTAAAAAGCAATTGGCATCAACAATTTAAGGACTACCTAATGATGAGTACATAACACAACACAAGTCCTCCTGTACATGCACAGTCTCCAGGTATATCTCCCGTGGTGCTTAGAACAGGGATTTCAAGTAGATACCTATCATCAGCTGAGCAAATCCCGATGGATAATAAAGACAGTTTCGTGAAGACCCTTTTCCCAAGAGCTGTCAACCTTCTACTTTGGTCAGATACCACTTATCAGAAGGGCATATTAAATAACGGAACACCACTGCCTCCTATCACTCCCAAATAGTCTGCTTCATAATTCAAGCCGGGCATAGCGTTCCTCACAATATTCTTGTAGAGTATGTTCTGGTATCTTCTACCTTACATGTTTATAAATTCTATTGAATCTCTATCATTAATTCACTATGTGTTGGATTAAATTGTTTTATTATAACATATGCAATATATTGTTAGTTAGCTTGCTTCATGGTGTTCTTACAGTTTTTCATAGCATCTAACTGTGATCCCCATTTGTATTTTGCTTGTTCCACTTGGATGCTGGCAACCCAAGTTCCTGTGGAGGAAATGGCTGCTTTGGAAGGTGGAGTCTATGGCATTATAACTCTCTGAGGTCTCTCCCCTCCTCAAACCTCACCCTCCTCCCTCCAAATCTCCAGCTGTTTCCTAACCTGGAGTTGGTAACCCTATCTCCTTCCCACCCAACAGCCAACCTACCTTTATCTGCCCCTCTGTCATAAGATCTCCCTCCCCCAACGGCAGCCTCTACCTAGGAAAATTGTGGCCCAGTTGTGGTGGTGCCTACCACTGGGCCAGGCCCACCTGCATGATAAGGAATCCTGAAGGACTTTTGGGGACTGCCTCACTTTCCTCGGTATCCCTCTCCCCACACTATTTCCTCTTTTCCTGTATTGTCTCCCTTTCCATCATTCTTACCTTTTCAGCCATTCGCCAACCTACTTTTATTTGCCTCCCATCTTCAGCTATATTTATTATTACTCCATTTATACCCCACCTTTCTCCTTACATTATTCTCCCCTCCTCCTTGTTATCCAGACAACCACCCTGTGAGGTAGGTTAGACTGAAAGTATGTAACTGGTCCAAAATCACCCAGTGAACTTCCACAGCAAGATGGGAATTCGAACCTGGGTATCCTAGACACAGAGCTGCGGTGGCTCAAGTGGTTAAGATGCTGAACTGCAGGATGTGGAAGGTCAGTAGTTCAGCAGTTCGAGACCTGAGTGTGCCGCATGACAGAGTGAGCTCCGGTCTCTAGTTCCAGCTCCTGCCAACCTAGCAGTTCGAAACCAAGAAATTGCAAGTAGATAAATAGGTACCACTTCAGTGGGAAGGTAACAGCGTTCCGTGCGTTTTGGTGTTTAGTCATGCCGGCCACATGACCATGGAAATGTCTTCGGACAGCACTGGCTCATCGGCTTTGAAATGGAGATGAGCACCGCAACCCTAGAGTCGGATTTCGACTGGCAAGGGAACCTTTACCTTTATCCCAGACCCTACTCTGAAGGTCCAGCTGCTACACAACACTGGTTTTCATAGTATGGTTTCTGTTGAACAGTAGCAAGCAGCCAGGTCTTGTTGTGTAACACAAGTTGGGTGGTATCAAGTCACCCAGAGGTTGCTTCTAGGTCTAGAGTTGCCAGCATCCAGGTGGGACCTGGAGGTCTCCCAGAATTACAACTGAACTCCAGACGACAGCAATCTGTCCCCCTGAAGAAAATGACTGCTTTGGTGGGTGGACTCTATGGCATTATATTCGGCTGAGCCCCCCCCCCAAAAAAAAACCTCCCCCCCCCAGACTCCACCCCCAAATCTCCAGGAATTTCCTAACTCAGAGCTGGCAAGTCTAGTTAGTCCTGGGCCCAGTGAGTCCTTCCTCAAGGGCCAAAAATAGGCCTGGAAAGGACTCTGCCCTCTCCCCCTGCCTTTTTACTTACAGAAACCCAGCTTGGAACACTGTGATTGCCTAGCAACAGCCACTGAGGGTCTCTGTTGTTTAATTCCTCATCTGTTAAGTAAATGAGTAAGAACGTGCATGAGTGAAGTGGCTCCAAGGCTGCATAAGTACTATCCCTGCTAAGGGGTTAAATTAAAAGGTCCTGTCCAAATTCTGTGAATCTGTAGCATCGTTTTGGTTAGAAACACTTTCACTCGTGAAATTTTCCTGTTTCCTTTTTAATAGAAAGTATTGATTTTTAGGTACTTGTCTAGGATTTCTATTGTGAGCTTTTAGATTATTCGAAGCTATACACAGTAAAGCTATAAAGTGGTCCCTGTATACATACTAATACCTTGGTCATGTTGACTTGATATTGTCAGCAAGTTCTATGAAGTTTACTAAAATCTGATTTTTTTGTTTCAGGTGAAGAGACTTGGCATAGTTGCTGTTAGTAAGTATTGCAGTTCTATGTATGTGCACATCATGTTATATTTCGATAGATCCTTCTTTGTGTGAATCTCAGATAATGTTTATATACAGGTGGTATAATTTTTTTAAAATGTAAAAATAAAATACTTAAACATAGAAGAGGATTAAACTGTCATTAAATATCACATAAAACTAGTTAAGACTAGCTGGTTTATAAAACAACTTCAAACCATGGTTTCAGATCCTGATTTGAGGCACCCTGACTAACCATAATGGGGTGACCCACAAACATTTCATTAAAGATTGTTTGTTTCATATGACTTCTGAACCAATCTCTAAAAGTTACAAGCACTGGAACAGTTCAGAAACAGATATGAAGCAATCACACATGATCATTACATTAGCATCAAGTGTCAAGAATGCTGCCAAATCCATTAAAGCTTTACATGCTTTTGACTGTTATCTAATAATATTTAATTGACCAAAATATGTCAAATTCCAACACTAGGTGTTATTTATGTCTTGATCACAAGTAAGTAGATCGTTGTTAAATTTAAAAAATGGTTAGCTGTTTAGAGAAACTTCAGGGAAGAGTGAACCTAAAGGTACAGCAGTTCAATCACAATTCCTTTCTTTGTAGTCAGCCTAGTAGGGCTCGTGTCCTACTGTGTAC